TCTTATCCATTCTTCATCAATATTGACTCCAATTAAAGAGCTCTTTCTATAATTTACCTTCAAACCTGACATCAATTCAAATGCCCTCATAATGCATTTAACTAGCCAAATGTTGTTTTCAATTGCCTCACCCATAAATAGCATGTCATGTGTGAACTGTAGATGGCTAATTTCTAGTTCCTCATCTCCTATTTTTACTCCATGAATAAAGCCCTTTGAAATAGCTATTGAAGTTAGACAATTTAAAGCTTCTGCCACTATTAAGAATACAAATGGAGATAATAAATCACCTTGCCGAAGCCCTCTTGACATCGAGAACTCTTTGGTAGCACTTCCATTAACTAAAATAAACACAGTAATAGATTTTATGCATTTAGAAATCCATCCCCTCCATATTATATCAAAACTCATTCTCTCCATACTGTATCAAAACCCATTCTCTCCATCATGTACTCAAGAAAAGACTAGCTCACAGTATCATATGACTTTCTCTTCCTCACCCCATCAATCGTCTCATTTGCGACAACTACTCCATCAACCAATTGTCTTCCCTCAATAAATGCAAATTGATTTTCTCCTATAATTCTGTTCAATACTTTACTGAGTCTATTTGCCAACAATTTATGAAGAATTTTATAAATGCAACTGATTAAGGAGATATGTTTATACTCCTCAATACCTTGAGGATTCTCTCTCTTCGATATCAAAACAAGAAAGAAAGCATTAGAACCCCTTATCAATCGTCCATTTCTATGAAAATCAGATAGGAACTCCATGATGTCTACTTTAATCACCTCTCATTCATTCTTTTAAAAACCGAAAGTAAAGCCATCCAGACTTGGTACTTTGGTGCTGTCACAATTTGATACTATAGCTTTAACTTCTTCTTCTGTAAAAGGTTCAATAAGCATGCATCTGTTTACCTCTAATATAGTCTTGAAGTTCAACTCCTCAAGAGATGTATCTTATATGATCATACTTAAATGTGGATTCTGCAATACATCATTTTTTGTGGATAAGTAAGATTGAATTTTAGTGTACATGTTTTATGATCCTTTCCACCCATATATAAATTTGTCTTTCCTTGAATTGTTTCAAATGTAAATTTGAATGATTCTTGGCACAATTATATATAGCAAAATACTTCTATTAGTCACGGAATCCAATTGTTTGTTAGTATATTTGCTATAACAGTTTCTTTACTATATATTTTTAGGGTTTTTAATGGAGTCAGGAGTTTAGTAGTAATATATTTTTAGTAGAAATATATAAGAGGTTTTGTGTACCAGTCATAAACATATGGTTGGAGTTGTCAAAAGATCCAATTATCGCCACCAAGGTTAGTGCTTTTGCTTGGCAAATGATACAAGAAACAGGATTGCTGCTAGACCAAATCCTTTGTCTAGGCTTTATGGCTTGCAGGATTATCAAGGATGGTGCCACAGATGAAAGGATGGTTTTTGAACTAATACAGCCAAGGGCTTTTCTTTGGCTCACGGTGAGATCTAAGAGATACGTACAGTTTCACCTTTAATGCTCAATGACTGGCTACAGGATCCAGTAATGTGTTCTAAGATAGTTGGAAGGAAAAAATCGAGGATAGAGGGCAAGATTTTAAGGGGTGTTTTGCTTAGATGTGTAAAGGAATTTTTTATAGCTACCTGTTAAGGATCGATTTTTCAGCATGTTTGTGTGTGGTTGTAACATGTTGGATTCTACTCCATTTAATAAAATATTTTGACTGCTTAAAAGAATATATCAAATTATATTTTTGGCTAAAATTATATGTATTTATACTAAACCTTTTTTTTTAAATCTAATCCTATCTAATTATTTAAATTTAAACTCAAAAATTCATTAAAAAAACTATCATTTCATTATGCTTTTCGTTGCCATCCTCTGAGAATGAAATACTTATCAACAGAGAAAACAAACAAACTCCTTCGGGTGAGTGCAGGAGTCCCGGATTAGGATTTTCCTCTCCAACAGTATAATAATGAACTGTTTCAAAAAAAAAAAAACTAAAAAAACTTAGAGCTTTTACACACGGTGGAGTCTCTTCCCACAAAGACTACAATCGTTAGGACAGGGGAGTCTCTGTTACTATTCCTTTCTTATTTTATTATTTTTTTGGGATAAGTAAGATTGATGGTTATTTTTTTGTTGGTATAATTTTTGAGAAGACTCTTTTGATTTTATACATTAGAGAGGAGAGTCTTATCTCTCTTGCAATCTCTGTTAAGGGGTTGTGTAAAATAACAAAGAGTATGATGTTGTGGCATAAAGAGTGACTCACCTATTGTAGATGCTTTTATAATAGGTTTTTTTTAATATCTATAGTTAGGATGTCTTTAAAGTAGTTTTTATGTATCTAAAGATTAATCTCTTCACAAGTGATTTTAAGAACATATCTTCCACATTAATATTCAAGAAAATTAATTTGTTTAGATATAAATCTTAAAATTTACCTTCTAAAACGATACTTATTTATCAATAAATCTAACTTTTAAGTATAATAACTATTAACTTAAATTTATTTATATATACCAATAAAAAAATATTGGAAAACCAATTAGCCCAGTGTTTTTTGGGCAACTATTAGCCCAGTCCAATATCTAAATTTTTAAATGCCATATTGGACCTGGATTGGGCCAAAGCTGACCAGCCCAAACAAGTGTCCAGTACATGTCCAATGTAGTCGAATGGTGATTTTTTTTTTTTTTTTTCCTTCGAAAACTAAATAAACGGAATCGTTAAAAAATTATTTTTTCCCCTCAAAAGTCAAAATCCGTTAAATCCAACCCCAACGGTCGGGACACGGAAACCTCTCTCTTCCCCTCACCTCCCCCCTCTCCCCCGGCCGGCGGAGTGAAATTAGCCTCCTCCCCCCAGCCCCTCTCTTCCAAGCCACGATCTTTGATCTCTATGACGCCGTCAGAAGTGGTAGATTGTTTGATTCTCGGTTCATAAATCAAGGTTTTGGCGACCTTCTCGATTGGTTTTCAAACTGTCTTTCAGTTTCTTTAGGGTATT